AAGAACAATGTCAAGGTCAAAACCAGCAAAGAGCAGGCAGAGAGTAAACAGGCTTGGTAACGTCAAAGATACAAAGGACTTGAGCATATACTTCTTAAAGTTCTTGGGACTGAGAGTCTCTTTTAAAGGGTGTATGTGAGTGTGTGTGTAATTGCACGCAGGTGTGCACAATCAAAAGTCCTGCAACTGTGAGCGAGGTAGCGTGTGTGTGTGTTTTGTGGAAAATGGAGTCCAGGGCGGCCATGTTTGGAGGCCATGGTGCATGTTGGGAACTGGAGTCACTAGACTGGGTTGACCTGACACCATAAGAATGACTGGGATTATTGATTAGGTTATATGCAGTGATGACTGGTCACAATTTTATTTTAAAGCTAGGTTCAGCAAAAAATATTCATAGGAATATTTATAGGAATTTAGCACATGTATGAACATAGTCATATATTTTTTCATATATGTTGACTCATTCCTTGCAATTGTGAGATCATACAGTTAGACAGTGGAATTGGAGAATTAAGTTCAAATATTATTTTGATATTTATGTGAAGTTTATTCTTATTCAGAGATGGGTTACGCAGCTGATTAAGGTGGTTTTCTGGGTGTGCCATTCATATTGTGCAAATTATCTGCATGTGATTCAAGCCTCCAAGGTTGCCAGATATTTCTTGAATAGAAGCGTCTGAGACGGGTGTTTGGACTGAAGAAGGAAATAGTGTTTTTTGCTTGTTTGTTTTTTCTTTGGTGTCAAATTCTTTGGTGTCAAATGTTTGTTTTTCTTTTCTTTGGTGTCAAATGTAATCCAATGTAGCATAAAAGCAAGAGACCATTTTAAAAATGAAAAAAAACAGACTAGTACGATGATATAAATGAGAAGATGGCAAGCTTTAAATTAAACATCTAATAGGAGACTATTTTACTGCCAATATGCATGAATCGCCACATTGAAAAATGGCTTACACCCTCATTATTAGGAAGCTTATAATAAAATAGCACTTGATCCACTCCAAATATTGGATTGCTCTGACAATTAACTGTACACACTTAATGTAACCATGAGATACTAAATTGAGGTCATGAAATCATAATGTGTGAGTGGGATGTTGAGGCTATTTTATCATGCTTTTAATGCTTTTTAATTCACTATTTCGAATTGTTAAATGAATAATAAAATGCAGATGTTTTTGTTCATTCAGAATACTCCCCTGTAAATAAAACATGCTGATGATCTGAAGGATAAGCTTACTGAGCACTCATCTGCTATAGTTACAGCTCACTTTAAGTTAATTCATAACTTTATCCACGAAAAAAATGGCCCTTGTTATAAGCAGTATCTGTGATTAAGATCTCATCTGATGTCCTCTGAGTAAAAAAAAAAGTGGACTTTTTTGTGGAGTATATTATTAATTAATTAATTCTGTCATATGTATGTGTTTAATATTGGCCTCAGATTGCATTCCACTTTTTGAGTGCTTGCAGCCCAAAGCATGCATTTCAGCTTTAGACTGTGGTACTGGACTTAATACTGCTCCTCTCTTGAACCAAAATCACACACGAATGGCCCAGACTCCTGCTTACCTGAGACATGTTTCTGTTTTAAGCAGACTCCACTGTGTGCGCGTAACTCTGGATAGCACTTACTTTTGATATTAAATCCTTACTGTGTGCGTAACTCAACTCTGAATATGGCCCTCTGTGACTAAAGCTTAAACCACTAGTGCAATGTTTTTATTTTATTTTTATTTATTTATTTTTCTGCAAGCATGCAATCATAATCACAGATTGTAATGTTGATTACAGCTAATGAGCTTAGCATGTGCACTGCTGCTATTATACATGTCAAGACATCCTGTATTCATCATAACACCATGCAGATATTTTCAAACTCTGCTGAGATATTAGTCCAAGAAGCTTTGCCCTAATAAGCTTTGAGGCTAAATATTAGGTTGCACATTGAATAATAAATCATGGCCTACAACTCTGAGGATGATTAAACACCACAGTTAAAGAGCTGAATAAACAGTGAGATGAAAGGAGCACAAAAGTTTAAAGCGTACGGTTATACATAGGCGTATTTGAGGGAAGTAGAATTAATTTCCTATGGGATACCGGCCAGCATATTGTATAGAGTTGAGGTTGATTAATGAGACTATGCATTAAAGCTTTTTAAGACACTTTTTCTTTTGGCCTGATATATGTGCAGATGAATGAAATGCAAATGAGTTGTATTTGTAAAGGTCTGGTGGAGGATCAAGTACTGACATCCTCTTTGGGGCTGATTTCCCATCTCTATGCCTATTATAAAGCTATGATTTCTCATCTTGTCTGTGTTTAACCTTTCAGACCAATTGTTAGAGTAACCATATTGTCAGAATTTTAGTCCGTCATTAAAACACCATGGAGGTGCTATTATTCCTTTCACTAATGTTGGCAGCAACAGTTAATAAGCATGCTTATCAAATTCTGCCACAGACATTTAGAGCACATTTAGCTTTTGCTGACATAATACAACAGCCTTCTGTTGTCCCTATTTTGTATCTGGGCTCTTTAGACTAATTTAAAGAAAATCACAAATAGTTCCACTGTTTACTACTCAAGGCTCAGCACAATTTAGAGCTACTTAATGTGAGTTGATGCAACTTGTGCAAAAGGAGGAAATCTGAATTTTTGTATAATAAGCCATTTTGATTTTATTCAAACTACTCTTAGGAGAGATCAAAACACACAAGTGTTCAAAACACAAAAGGGCTGTCTTGAGTGGGTATGCTTATGAGCACATTTAACCATCGGATTACCATCGGAAAGTGTTTAATAAGTTTCTCTAACAGCAGCTCTGACATTAGTGTCAATTTCAAGGTTTATATTAATATGCTCTTTCGAATATGTTATGGTTTCTATAGTAGTGTCTTATACAGGGACTTGTATGGTGGTTGGTCCATGTAAATGGGTTAAAAATGAGTCTAATCATTGATATTGTGAAGTCTTTTGTGCTTTCACTGCTTTGTAATAGTCAAAGGTACAGTTGTAACTTTAAGTTTTACATTTTCAGGATGGAGGGCCCTGCGGTTTCTAAGTAACATGCCAAACTGCATTTTTTTTTGTCTTATTAACTTAAAACACTGCTTGTTGAGGGAACCTCAGGTTACAGAGTAATGTAAATGGTAACAGGAACTAACATTAAATGTAACTATAAATTGATAAAAAGTATGCAATGTTATTTTTAGTTAATAAAATATTGTAATTGTTGGCAAATTGCTGTGGCATAAAAACAATAAAACACTTGGTTTTATAGGAAAATGGTCAACAACAGGGTGATGTGATGCAGCTCCACACAAAGCAGAGGACCATTACCACCCCAAAATCCTGTCATATATTTTCCTACATTTCCTATGTGGAATTTGTCTTTCAATAGAACTTACTGAAATACACACATCAATCTGTTTTTTTTGTTCTTTTCCATAATCCAGGCAAGTTGACCATTGTTTAAAAACTTATTTGAGCAGTGGTGCAGGAGCCGTAGCTACATAGGCAGTGATTCAGTCTAGTATGACACTTGAAAATTTCTGACAAATGGGATCAGAACAGGCCACATCTTTGTCTTGCCATTGAAAAAGAAATGATGGATGTGAAACAGCCTCTGTGTGTATTTCACTGTACAGTTTACTTTATCAAACCTCTTTTCCAGACCTGTCATCTACTTGTTAAGCCTAACAACATGAAGAGGTTTGTCACGCACATGGGGTTTGATAAAATGGCTTTCAGAATTCTGGGACAGATGTGTAGTGGCAAATGTAAAGCAAAATATATGTATTTATAAAATGCTGAATGAAAAACTGGTGTCATTGTTTCCCATGCTGTTATATCTTAGACTGAAATATGGTTGGATGTGAGACACTTCAGAATGGTTTCGATATGATTATATATTTGTGCAGCTGGTAGAAGTAGGTTGGAATACTTGCTTATGTTTATGCTTGCTTTCTGTTTGGATGTTGAATTTAATTCTTGCTTTTGGCACCATGTATTTTGTTTCAATGCTTTTACTCCGAGCATAACAGCAATGACTAGCTTACCAATTAGATTAGACACAGAGGGATTTCTGTTGTGATGATAATGTAGAATGCTGGTGGCATGAACATATTGATCAAGTGAGCTAGAGTCTTTTCTCATTAAAGATCAAGCATCTAAAGAAAATGAAGGAAAGCAATCTCCCTATAGGAAACATCTAAGACAAATTAAAGGAAAAAGAAAAACAACATAAAGTGTCTTACTAAGGTGTTTGGCCAAAATGAGTCAGCTTCAGTGTGCCTTGTCATAGACTCTACACATCTGTGGAACTGTACTTGAGGGATGAACACCATTCTTCCAAACGATAGTCACTCCCTTTGTGTTTTAATGATGGTGGTGGAGACACTGTCTAATATATCACTCCAAAATCTCCTTCAGGTGATTAACTGGATTGAGATCAGGGTTCCCAGTGATCAAAGAAGTCTGTGAATTAGAGCCAGCAATATGGAATAAATATATTGTCACTGATCACACACAGCTGTACGCACTGGATGATATATCCCACACATTCTAAATTGCTCTGCTCGTGCACAGTCACACTTATTTACATAAAGAAACACCCCAAATCTCCATATATGGTAAACAGCTTCTCTTTAAAAGGTCCAGTAACCTGCTTGTGGTATTGTTTGTTGCAGACAAAATGGAGCATATTAAAATGTCTAAGAACATTAACTTCATCAACAACAGAAGTAAAGATACCGTTGAACAATGTAGAGCAAAACAAAAGTGTTTTCTTGTGGCACATTATACAAATAGTTTGTTGTACTTTCAGCTGCTCTTGTTAGAGGTTGCTGCAGCAGATCACCTTCCATTGTCTGCATATTGATTTGGCACAGGTTTTATGCTGGATGCCCTTCCTGATACAACTCTCCCCATTTATCTGGGCTTAGGACCATCACTGAGAGTGCACTAGCCTGTGCATCCCCAGTAGCTGGGGTCAGCACCCAGCATGGGGCTCAAACCCATAATCCTGAGAATAAGAGTGCCATGCTCTACTAACTGAGCCAGCTTGGTGCACTTTTTGAATAGTCTGTCTATGTAATAAATAATAAATAAAATGAATCAGTCATCTCTAATATCACCATGCTGAAGTCCCACTGTACTGATCTGCACAATGAAAGAATCATGTGTTCTGCCTGGCCACTTGGTGAAGCTCAACTGTGTCACAAGTTACGTGTACAGTAATTGAGTCTTTTCTGTTCATTTTTGTGAATTCCTTAAATCTGGGTAATTTAATGGCTATGAGTGTGTAGTCTATTGCCCTAGTTACATTTGGAAAACCTAAGATGGCATGAAAATCCCCTATTATATATATGTTGTTGTTTCTGCTGCTGTATTTGGAATTGTAATGAATGCATATGTTTTGCTGCCTCTCCAAAAGTGGGGCGAGTTGCTGCCAGAGACCAACTAAAATTGCACTAGACAAATTAAATTGACTGATCATTCTCCATAAAGAAGTCCTTAAAAACATGTTTCTCTCTGTGCAAAGCTGCACATGCCAAATATTCAAGCAAAGCAAGATAAGTCACCATCTGCATCATCCCAATCATTCTTTAGATGTACCTTTTATATGATTTTACTTTACATTTCATCTGTGTCACCTGTCTGCACCTTGATGTGAACAGAACAGTCAGGTGACGCAGATGAAACTGTGTAATGGTGGCTAAACTGATTTTGAGGAGCTCCCATCCCACTTATTGTCAATCATGTCAGCATTACTTATCTACCACTAGGGGTTTCTGCATACTCATGGTCAGTAGGTCTAATGCTGCATTTGGCTAAAACTCATAACTCCGACCTTTGACTAGGAATAAACGAGAAAACACCCCACAACTCGGAATTCCTACTCGGGAAGTCAGGAAGGTTCATCATGTGACATCAAATCAACATGGCTGCTCCCAGCATCAACAGTAAACGAGTAGCATTTACTTACTTTTAAATGAGTTATGCTGTATATACTAGTCAGTTCAGTTAGCATACAGACATATTAGCTTGTTAAATCTATAATATTAACTACAGTTTGCTGTTTTGAGAAGGTGAATATACAGTACATCATTCAACACAGTTAGCTGATGAGATTTTTGCTAACAAAAGACAAACTTTTTTTTCTGAGTTAATTAGAACACATCACACATCATGCACAAGAATAACTTGATAAATCACATTCTATGTGTAGAAATGTATGCACACAACTATTCGTACACAGGGTTGATAAATGATCCCCCAGATGAGTGTGACGGCCATGGCTTGTAATTTTCATGATCATTTTCATACTTATCAAAGCGTTCAGTGAGCCCTCGTATCCTGCGGCTGGTGTGCTCTTGCCGGGGTAGTGGTAGCTCAGTGGATCAGACATTGTGCTACTGATTGGAAGGTTGTGAGTTCAAATCCCACTGCTGGGCTCTTGAGCAAGGCCTTTAACCCTCAACTGCTTAGTTGTATAAATGTAAGTTGCTCTGGATAAGGACATTTGCCAATTGATGTAAATGCTGATAGACTGATCACATTTTGCATCAACATTCTTCTGTTGCGCTTATGTTTTTCCTTACATATCATACTAATGCTCAAGCATCACAATCATTGAATATCTGCTTCTAATATATATGCTTTCAATGACCATTTCCATCCTTATTTCCTGATGCTTTTCCCATAGATCTAAATGCAGATGTCACGTTAGTCACTGTTCCTATTTATACACAGCCAAGCTCCTGCTATCCACACCCCAATAATGAACCCTAATTCCAAGTCACTTAGATCTTTTTCTCTTGCCATTTTGAGCTAAAATAGAGGTCAACTGGCTCATTTCGACATTTTTATACATACCACAGAGCATGGTAGGATGTTAATTGTTTAATTCTGTCATGCCTGTCGTGAAGCATCTGCACTCTGGGTTCTTCTGCTCATTTATTCATATTTTTCCTTTAATTTGTCATCCATCAGTAGGTGATAAGCAAAAGTTGCAAAACTCATAGAATAACCACGATTTCCATTTAGATTTTTCTTTTAAAATGGGAAGAGCAGCTGTTTTATTACAAAGCCATTATGTTTTAAAATCATTTCTGATAAATGGTCACTAAAAAAAAAAAATAGACGTAGGAAGTCAGTAATGCTGGTTAGTGTTTATGTCTCAAATTTAGAGAGGCTTTTCTTCCAGTTCCGTTGGTAGCAAGGATTAAGGCTTGATGAGCTCCTAACAAAATATTTCACACTTTGTCTTTCATCAATATATGTGAATATCCTGATACTTGGAAATCTTCTCTTTTAATGCTCTTTTTATGCTCCAGGGATTTGTACTTTTTATTTATTTTTGTTCTTTTTTTAGGCAAATTATTGCACCCCTTTCTGAAAGCAACTGTCTCCTGTTGTGAATTCTAGCCATGTCTGAGTAGGTTTAAAACTAGCTTTCTGTCAGATTTCCGGGCTCACTCGTCACTCTTTGCGAAAGCTAAACTCTCTGTGCCTCTGGGATCCTGTGCCGATGTATCACAGGCAATAGAGTCTCATAAATTTATGGGAAACTCTGAAATGTGTAATCAGTAGCTGAATCATCTACTGTGTTTTAAATGCAAATTGGCAGTCAGTTGCAAAAGTATATATTATAAATTACTTGAAATAGACCAACATTATTCCTGTGTGCCTTTGCCTAAAGTCGGATAAATTTACAGACTCAGTATGGATTAAGGCGATCAGGGGCTCACAGGCCGCGAAACACACATATATGCTATCTACCATATTATCAGACAGACCAGAGAAGAGAGGGAAAATAATGTCAAAGTCAGAGCATGATACTGCCAGGTGAAATGGAAAAATATAATGATGTGTGTGCTGAGTGACACAGACATAATCCTATACATGGAGCACACAAAGCACACACACACACACACACACTCTCTCTCTCACTGGCCACTTCATTAGGAACCCTTTAATTAATGCTCATTAATGCAGTCGTCCAGTCAGCCAATTATGTGGCGGCAGTGTAATACGTAAAATCATGCAGATACGTGTCAAGAGCTTTACTTCACATCAATGTTCACATCAAACGTCAGAATGGAAAAAAATGTGATCTCAGTGACTTTGAACATAGCATTAGTGCCAGGCAGGTTGGTTTGATTATTTCAGAAACTTGAGCTCCTGGGTTTTTCATACACAACAGTCTGTAGAGTTTATACAAAATAGGGCGAAAGACAAAAAACATCCAGTGAGCAACAGTTCTGTGGGTGGAAACGCCTTGTTGATCAGAGAGGTCAGAGGAGAATGGCTGGATTGTTTCAAGCTGACAGGAAGTAGGCTACCGTAACTCAAATAACCACTCTTTACTGCTGTGGTGAGCAGAAAAGCATCTCAGAATGCACAACATGTTGAACCTGGAGGCAGATGGGCTACAACATACATAAGTAAAAAAAAAAAAAAACAAGTATTACCTTTAGTAGGCTTTTCTTTTTTTTTCTTCCTTAACGAGAGGTTGCTGATGAGGCTGATAAAATCTAACATGTGAAGAATATTGCTTTCTTTTGACATCTGACAGCCAGGTCAGTTAGTATGGATTGTGCACAGGTTAACAAAGCTAGCTTCAGTTAGCCTTGTGTGATTATAAAAGTACTGTATTGTTAAATACCAGGACAATTTGGGGACATTTGTGAACATGATATTCTTTTAAGAGACATCCGAATCATGTTTTGCCTCTCTGTTATATTTCCTATAAAATATTTAAACATTTCTGGCCAGTTACCTCCAGGGGTTGGCCAGGTCTGTGTGTAATTACTACAGTGTTGTTCCGGTTAGGAATAAACAACACTTTTCCACATTCTGCTTAGAACTCAGAGGCTCAACTGGATAACCCAAAGATGACAAAAATATAAAAGATCCTTCTTAAACCTACAATATCAGATATTGAGCGACAGATTTGGAAGTTTCTGATTTGATGAAGTCTTAGAAGTAATTAAATCAATGCTAACCAGCAAGGCTCCAGGGCTGGTTAGCCTCCCAGCTGAGTTCTTTAAGAAGTTTCTCTTACCGACTTGCAACTCGACTTTTGATGTGTTTGACGGCTCAGTACAGTCGGGAGTTCTACTTTGATTCAATTCACTACCTGCCTGATTTAAAAGCCGGAGAAGTATCAACCTAAATTTAGATCTTCTTGCCCTATTTCATCCTTTAATACAGATGTGGAAAGGTTGAATGGTTGTTGCATTCCACTTGAAAACTACTGCTCCATACTATATTATCAGAATGGTCCAGGGTCGTCTGGTATAAATGTACTAGCAGGGCTAAGCCCAATTGTCTTTCAAGGTTAAAGAGACATCAGTATAAGGTATCATTTTCGACGCTGACATCATAGTATTTGCTGTTAAGAAAATGTCTTAAGGTGGATTATTTGGGAGAAGTGCAACAGCACCACCAATGCTTGTAAGAGAAATACACAGAATGGTATGAAGAAGTGAGGCTATGGTTGATTTCTTTCTAGCCCAGATTGTAGATTATGGCCGCCTATCAGTGACAGTCATGTCCAGTGATTAAACAGAGTCAAACAAGTGTTAGATTTGATCTCCAATTGGAGTGATATTTTTAAGATCGTGTCATTGACACATCCATAAACTATCGTCAGCAGTGATTGAGAACCACACATGAAATATGTGAAATAGTTATGGGTGTAATTTACAAGAACGAGGTGGATTATTTACACCATTATTTACTCCATCATCATTCTTCCCAAAATCCTTTGAAGGAGAAACTAAAAGTAGATATACTAAGCAACACTGTCAAAGTACAAATTACACAAAAGGACAGACAGCAGAACTATAAGTTCAGTGATTTTTGGTTTGAACAAAGGGTTTACAGCTTTTTTGTTTACCATGTTTGGTATTTGGAGTTAACATGGCTTGAACCCAGTAGGATATTACAGACTTCAAACACTTGAACAAATTAGAAAAGTAAATGCAGCTACCTGTCTGCCTTTAAGTGTGTGTGTAACAATATGCCGCATATCATTCTTTATGCCATCGATTAGACCATGC